TTTCCAGTATCCCTAAATAATCCCCAATATAACCCCTATAACCCTTAACCCTCATATAACCCATATATAATATAGTAGTTTCCATTTTCTTTTCCATTATCCCTAAATAATCCCCAATATTACCCCACTATAACCCCTAAATTATCCCTATATAACCCCAATATACCATGGTAGCTTCCATTTTCTTTTCCATTATCCCTATAATACATTCCCTATGTAACCTAGCCTGGAAGTCTTTAGGCGCCGCCACGCAGGTAATCCACACACGTTTGGTGCCGCGAGGGGCTTGCGAGACATGCCTTTGAAGCTTGGCTGCAAAGTGGTTTAGGATGGTTTAGGGTTTAGGGTTTAGGGTTCAGGGTTTAGGGTATAGGATTTAGGGTGCAGGATTTAGGGTTTTGTACTGCGCCTACTTCAAGCTGATGTTTCGCCAAGCTTTTGTTTGGGAAGGAACATGGTTTGACATTGATTTCGCCGTTGAAGCTTGTACTACATGCTTTTAGGAAATAGAGGCCCATGTTTACCAAGACCACCTTGTATCCTGGCGATTCTACTTTTATGGACTCACAGAAGCCTTAAAGCCTTATGAACAGCAGATGGGGATAGTCAATCTAAGGGTAGGGGATATAGGATTACATAAGGGTCCTTTTAGAGGGAATTATAGGGATTATATAAGGCTATATAGGGTTATATAGGGTTATATAAGGTTATGTAGGGTTATATAGGGTTATATGAGTAAGCCCTCGCCTGGTTTTGTGACATCTGCATTCAGGAACTTCATGGACCAGAGCATCCCCATCCCAAACACAGGCATGTGGGCGTTTCTCAGCAAAGGGGGACCTTGCGGACCTCAAAGATATAAGAGTGTGCATATATATACACATATATCTGTGTATATATATATATATATATATGTATGTAGGTGGCATATGGCGGTTGCTTTTCTGGGTTATGTGGGGCATGGGGGTTGTTTTCAAGAAGTTTCTAGGAGGCTGTGCTTCAGATTCAAATAGGATAGCCTTTGAGTGCAAAGTTGAGGGTCTAGGTTGAGAGGCAGCGTGACCTTGTGTCCTAGGCCTATGCATTGTTTGGATTGATGAAGGGTCCTGTTCACATTGCCATGTGACGGGCGCTTTAGAGACATTGGTTGCTACCTCATTCTCCCCAGCTTTCGAAGAAAGCAACAATTGGGTCTCAGACAAAGTGTTGTTTGATAGACCTATCTTACCGCGTGATGCACTCGCCACATATTCTTTACATACTTCTATTTAGTATTTGGAGAATGTAGAACCTGTAGAAAACAATCTGCACGCATTCTTCACCACTTGTGTACTTGTGCATGATGCTCAAGTGCCATCTACGTGAAGGTTCGTGGGACTTCGTAACTACTTAATAAACGGGCTTATAGCCTGACATATAGTCCCCCCTAATTGGACTGAGGTAGGCTACCCCAACTCTAAGCAGGTTTACAAGTCCAGTTGTAAGTAAACCCTAAACCATAAACCCTAACCTCATGATCCTTCAAGTAGAGTCCGGACGAGATCCTTCAACAGTCTCTGCTTGTATGTGGTTTAGGTTTAGGGTTTAGCGTTCAGGGCACTGCTCGACATGATGGCGTAGAACCTTGGAATCCTAGGACACCCTGAATCTTCAGAAGTACTAAGATCCCCAAATCCAGTGTCCCTGGATGTCCCCCAACCTACAGGACCCAGTAAAAACCTTTGAAAACTCCTGAGGGTGACCTAAAGCAGAATTTTCAAATTCAAACTCCGTAAACCCCTCCGGCTAAGCGCCACATACCTGGAGAACTCTGGCAGGACCTTTGGACAGATCCTGCTACAGCCTCCGGCCAGGATCTGTGCTGTGCCCTAGCATCTCAACCGTAAACCCTCAACCATAAACCATCCTTTACGTTTTTGGGAAGAGCTCTACACCCGAAGGGGATATGATGGTTTCCCCATAATTAGGGGGTCCCCACAGTGAGGTTTATAGTTTATTGTGGTTCATATTGGGGCCCCCTATTTTGGGAAACTACCATATGTTGATACGAGTTAAAAAGAAACCTTGCGTGACTTGAATGTACTGGCATGCGGTAGTTCCCATGTAAGATGTTTAGGGTGTGCAGGATACATAGCACCAACTGTAGCATGGCAATTGATCACGGAGAATGTGGCTTTCACTTTCAAGCCCATCTCTCGACAACAAGCCCTCCCCTTAAGGCTCCGGTAATCAGCAGGGTTATTAGTCCCCTGATTGGGGTTGTCCAGCTTGTTACTCCCTACAAAGCCTAACTACTAGGCCGCCCGAGCCTCTAAGTATAGAATCCCCAGTATTGGATCTCCTTGGGTCCCTGAGATTGCCCATGAATGCCAAGGCTCATGGGGAATCCTCAAGTAAGTGAGCTGTAATCAAATAAACTCTTTAAAGAGGGTTACATAGGGGATTATATGGGGGGGGGTCTTTAGTGGGGTCATTAAGTTAATGGGGATACTAGGAGTTTAGACTGTAGCTAACATATGGTGGAAAATCCTCAAGTAAAGTAAGTTCGTACCTTGCAGGAGAGTTCGTGGGTTTGAGTGAGGCAGGGTTGGTTGCTGGGTGAAGTTGTAAGCCTTATTGGGAGGATCGGGGGGGGGGCTTAGTAAGTAGGTGAATAATGGTGATAACTTGGTTTACTGTATGGGTTATAGGGGGTATGAACCTACTCACTAACTCCACCTGACCTTCCAAATAGATTTCTAGGGTTAAGGATTTAGGCTTTAGGTTTGGAGGACCTCCCCCCCACCCTGTAGTAGCGGTATCATTGGAATATAAGAGCTCCCTAATATTAATGCTTATTATCCTTTATACCCACTATTACAGGGCGCGGGGTCCACCTAAGGTTTAGGTTTTTGGGTTCAGGTCTTCGAGTTTTGGTTTTAGAGTTTAGTAGCGCTAGGGATGCTGGAGTTGTTTCAAACAGCGACAGAAATTCGGGGCTCCTTCGTTTCGACCAGGCCCCAGTCCTTGCCGACTCATTGCCTCCTTTGAAAGTTTAGGGTTTACCTAGACCCTAAAAGTACATAAAATAATGGGCTTATTAGGGCTACAATTAGGGGTTTTGGGCTATTAGTTTACCAACGTTAGGGGTTTAGAGCTTAGGGTTTAGGGTGGCGATCTGAAGTTCCAGGAGGTTGAATGCTTTAGACCTGAAGGTAGGATGAAGCATTGGGTCAATCTCCCACCCAGTAATGGGTACCACAAGGGACTATTGTAGGTATCCCTAAGGGTCCAAAAACCCAAATAATAGGGTTTCAGGGCCCAAATACTATACTATTAATGGTATTTGGGACCTAAACCCCTATCATTTGGATCCTTGGACCCTTAGGGCATATTACGGCCCCACTAACTCCATATTCAAGGGCTGTTACTGCGGGGGGGATTGACCCAAACAAAGCAGTAGTAATTCTACTTAATACGCTAAGTGGCCAGTGGTGTTTTCGGGGACTTCAAATTGAAAGAAGATGGCGCTGCCATGCCTCGCACCCTGTGCAATCTCTACAGAATTCCTCTTAAAGAACCTCAGAATTCTTGATATAATTTTAGGGCACAAGCTTTCGAGTTTTTTGCTGCCAACAGCAAGATAATGTAAGGTCTAGGGCTTAGGTTGAGGGATCCCCCCAAATACGAACCTTGTCTACAAAGAGCCCCAAAGCGGACCCCGAATCCATGGAGACTCCCATATTGGGTTGCGCTTTCCCTGAGCTTACCATGGCACATATGTAACGGTCACCAGTGCGGCGGAGAAGGTATGTACCTCCTGGACACTGGCATTCCGTCACAGCGCAGAGTCGAAGCTGCAAGAATGCCCTCCCCTGTTAATGACCCCTCAAAAATTACAAGCAATCAATATAATAGTTGTAAGAATAATGCTGGTGAGAATAAATCCCCCACACACCCCAGTATAGTATGACTCCAAAATGTGTGGAGGGGTACATTTAGTATTCAGGAGAGGATTAATGTTCACGAGCTTCTTGTGTTGCAAATTTATTGCTATCATTGCGTGTAGGCTGGCGACCAGCGCTGTTGCTCTTATTTTCAGTCACCGGGGCAAGCTTATATTCAAGCGTGAATCAATGCACGTGTACTGCATTCGTTGATTTTCTGACGTCACTCAGGAAAGGAGATTGCGTCTCTGCTTCTTAGATGCAAGCTTCCAAGCCGGGTTCATGCGTACTTCCATTGCCACATCTTGCCACTGAAGAGTGATGCCTGGGCTTGTGAGGCTAATACGGGTACGTGTGAGCATGACTGTCCGCTCCTAGAATTCGATGCTAACTAACTTGACAAAACAGCAAGGTGAACCTGCGGATTGCCAACCTCTTGCACGCAAAGTGGATCTGCGAGGCCCAGTCCTGTTGCCACTGCCAGTACTATCACCGGCACCACTGCCACCACTGCCGCTGCCGCCTTTGCCACTGCCGCTACAGCCGCCACTGACCCTCGGACGCCAGTGCCATCACTACTGCTGCCACCCCCACTGACAATTTCACTGTTGTTACTCCTCCTGCTGGCATGTCCGCTTATATGTCTACCACTACCGCCACCATTGCCAGCCGCCGCTGCCACCACAGCCGCTGCCGCAGCGCCGCCACCGCTGCCAGCTACATGCTCGCTGCTGCTGCTGCTGCTGCTGCTGTTGCTGCTGTTGCTGCTGTTGCTGCTGCTGCTGCTGCTGCTGCTGCTGCCGCCACAAGTAGACTGCTTCGCTCCGCCGTATCTGCAAGCATTTACAAGCCCTGGTCCAATGCTGACAAGTTACGAAGTTGCAAAGATCGAAAACTTTCGGCCTCATTTCAGACCCCGCCTCGTGTCTTTACATACCCCTTCGGACTCCTGCAGGTGCCTCAAAATGAAAGCGGTTGCTGATATAGTGATTCCCTCAAAGCATTAAACTTACTAACCTGCATTTCGGAGGATAAGACCCGCGCTTTTTGAGAAGCGCCCATCTCTTGAAGGTGATGTTTGCCAAGATGATCAGAACCGCCCGTGGTCAGGACACCCTCTTAGCAGCCGGGCGCTAAGGTTGCAGCACTTTATAGTAGCCTGAATCATTATCAACATCGCGGCCTTCAGGTCATCGTATAACTCCAGAATAGGGTGCAGTGCTAGCGCTGGATAAGAAAATAGTTGCCAGAGCCAGGGTAGTTTGGCTTTCTGTTTTAAAGCCGCTTTCTCAGGCAAATTTCAGGGAAGCCGTCAAGCAAGGGCATTGTTTGTTTCTTATGCGTGTTTTCTTGTTTTCTGTTTTCTTTTCAGCCCCACCTGCTATGAATAAAGCCGCGCATGTTTGCCCCTTTCTGTTGCTTTCGTGCAAATCCCGTCACAGCCACTATCAAAATATTTGCTTTAGCTACTCCGTTCCTGGCGCAGCCAAAAAAAAGCTTTCCCCCCCTCAGTTTACTGCCGCAGTTGAAGGATTCTGTTTGGAAAACGCCACCCCCCCCCTCCCCCCCGGTTTAGGGTTTTAGGTTTTAGGGGCAAGGCTCTGTGAGTTTCTTCTTTTGATCGTTTCTTGGACACGCAAGCCTCCCAAAAAAGGTTCCTTGGGCCTCCCAGGGGCCTACCAAACAAAACGGCACGGAATAAGAACGCCAGACTCTGAGATTTTCTCATTTTCCATCAAAATGGGGAATATCTAAGGGTCTGGCTTTCTTATTCAGAGCTGGCCCGAAACAATGCTTCTCCCAGTGCTGTTTTTGTTTGCCGGGGAGATCCGCGGGAACCCATGGGAGGCCTTAGGAAGCCTTCGGAGGCCTGGCAGGCGTCAGTGTCCCAACAACGATGAAAATGCGAAGGTCCCAGGTCCCAGAGTCTGGCTTTTTCAGTTTTGTTTGGCTTGAGGTTGAGGTTTAAGGGTTTGGGACCAACTTTCTGTGTCAGACTGGGCCCCCCATGCCCGCGTAGTCAGGTTGTCTATATTTTTCTTATGATAGTCGTGCTGTGCGCTTTCGGGCAATGAGCCCCCCAGAGCCCTCCCTAGACTCTCCTTTTCTTAGATGAAGTAGTGTTATCACTGTACCCCGAATGGACCTCAAAATGATAATGCTGCTTACTTAGGCCCGCAAGTTTGGGCTAGAGGCTGTAGGCTTTACAGTCTTCAGGTGTAGCTAGACCTACTTTCACCAACCTGTTGGCCATGTCCCTTTACGCTGTGTGATCTCTTGAAGGGTTTAGGGAGCTGTTCTAAGAGCTTCTGTCATCATATGGGACGCCCCAAACTGTAGATGCAATCCTACGAAGGGGCACCTCAAAAAATCGATTTTTGGAGAAGCCCCTAAACCCTTATAAGCCCTAGAGGTATAAGAGGGGACGGCAGGTGCGCCCTCTGGATTTCGGTGGTCCTGAGCTGTCAGATGAGATGAAGAAGCAGGCCGTGTCTGTCCACGCGTGCTTTTAAAGGGGTTTGCGCGACTATTGTTCTGGGTTTTAGGATCTAGGGATTGGGTTGTAAAGGTATATGTTGGGGCCACTATCACTAGCACATGGAAATCCCCACAATGTGGGTGAGACTCGACCATTCCTAAGAGACGATTGACGGACATGCAGGCTTCAGTATCTTGGTATAGTTAGTAATGTTCAATATGTCGATTTCTTTTGTAGTGCCGAATTCAAACCGACACGGACATTTCCATAAGCAGGGTCCAGCATTTCCGCCACAAGATGCCAGAATGCAAAAGTATGGGAGATGATTCTAGGCACTTGGGACTTGCCTTAACCCGTAAGCCCTACGTTGGTGGAACCCTGGGGTTGCTTATGCGTTATGTAATCTACTTGAAAAGGGTTACACTAGGGCTATAATGGGCGTATCAAGGGGCATGCTATGTTACCTAACTCCAGGGTCCCTCAAAGTGAGTCCTATCCCCAAACTTCTAAACCCTAAGCCCTAAACCCTAAACCCTAAGCCCTAAACCCTACACTAAACCCTAAACCCTAAACCGTCAGGCGGCAGAGTCTGTGGACTTGGAGTCGTTTTGGTGCCGCCCACCCCGCTGCAACTCATTTGCACGTTGTGATGAAGCCCCATACGATATACCTCCTACAAGCCCTTCCTAAGGTGGAGCCAAAACGCCCTATTTTGGTTTTTTGGGAGAGATGGAGTAAGGGGGGACATCTAGCTCAAGATCAACATCCGAATTAAATTGCATAATTTTATTATCCTGCTTGCTGCCAGCTGTCGGGGGGCTGCTTTGTTAAGCCCTACACCTTAAACCCTACATGCTAAACACTATTATACTTAGTCACTATACTCTATACCCTAGACTTATTAGTGCTTAGTAGGGAATAAGAGAACATAATGCACTGTATAATCCCTATAGAATAGTTTCCGTGTTCCTTACTACCATCCTAAGCCCTCGCCCCTAAACCAGTTGAGGGTTTGCTACCCATACTTTTGGGGGGAGCTAAGGAGCTAAAGATAGTCTATATCAATGTAATAAGGGGAGCTAAAGAGCCCAGGAATCTCCAAAACCATAGGGGAGTTTGGGATTTACGTAGAGGGCCGTACTGAGGCTTCCCATTTCAGAGGGAGCACTCCGATGGTCTCAGGCGGACTTGGTCAAGTAATGGCGCCTAAATGGATTTATGGTTTAGGGATTGGGGTTTTAAGTTTTTAGTGTCTAGGGTTTCTCAAAAAGGGGTACCTTTATAATGTCCCTATAATAGGGATTATAGTATTTGGAGGGTCTGTATTCCAGTCTCCCTAGTGATTTTGAGGTCTATTTCAGGTAAACTACACCACGATTGTACAAGGCATCTAGGAAAATGACATTGGTAACTATTCCGTGCTGCATGTGAGTAGAGCTTGCACACCAAGCTCTTCTCCCTGTTCTCAGCAAGGAAGAGGGGAAATGGTCATAGGGACCATGATAAGGATTGTACCATAACAAATTAGGTGGCACATTCATTGTCAGGTGGGTGGGGAGGTCTACGATAAGGGGAGCGGATTAAACATGGGGACGCCAGGGCCCTGATTTGGGTATTTCCCTCTTACGGTACCTTTGCTTCAGTCGTTGACAGGGAGGGTTTTGATTTCTTATTATCTGTATTACCTCTTCTGGTAACTGCGTGATCTCTTATTCAGCTGTTACTTTACTTACTGGGGTTGGTAGGCAAGAAAAGAGTATGATCCCCGTATATTACCTTTGATCCTTACCAACCCTCATTAATTTTGAGGGGGAAGGACCTGATCCTATTCCCTAAACCGCCCTCGTTCGCTACGAAGCGCCGTGTAGTCCTTCTGCCATGCCAGCGTCGCAAGTCTTCGGTCGATCTACGACCCAGACCCCCCCTCCCCCAAAGGATCCAAAGCCAAGAATCCACCTTTTGTCCACGATGATTTATCGAAGGTCAGGGAGGGGGGGGGGGGTCGATTTTTTGTATCCTTCGGGGTGTCAGGGAATTTGAGTTTCTGAATTTCTCATTCTTTCGTGATTAGATATCATGGCTAAGGTTGTCCTGCTTCACATGAGTACCTGGTGAGGCTGGGTGCCACGCTGGAATTCCTGAAGGCTAAGAAGTTTGTGTGCGATTCTTCACTGCTGCGTGAGGATCACCTGGTGCAGGACTCAGCCTGCCACACGTAGTTCGTCAAAGGTCACCCCATATACCCCATATTCTATACCCTATATAACCCATTATAGTAGTTTCCATTTTCTTTTCCATTATCCCCATATAACCCCAATATATATTCTAATATTCCCCCATATTCTAACGCATTGCGACCAAACTGGCGTGAGCGCATAATACGTGCTTAGCGGTTGGCCGTCGGAATTTGCGAGGTAGGGGTTGGGTAGTACCCCTAGGGTTTAGGGTTTTAGGGTTCAGGGTTTAGGGTTAGAACCATAGCATGGTAGCATAGAGCCCTAAGATGAATCCTATTACATGCTGCTGTCCCAGGTCAGCGTGAGTCCCCTTGTGCGGCGGGCTGAGACAGCTGTGAGATGTCTTCATACCATGGAGCAACCGGCCTGGTGTGTTCTTGGGGGATTATTCAAACTGAGAATAAATAGCAACAGTAACAGTAAAAATTGCAACCATAGACCTTAAATCGTAAAACCTGACAATGCCACATTCCTTATTGGGTCTGGGTATAATCAACACTAAGCTTATATTTCAACGACGACACGGAAGCTGCCACATTGGCACTGCAAGCCTTAGCCCTGGGGAAAATGGGCTTAGGGATTTGGGGTTTGGGGGTTTAGGGCTTAGGGTTCAAAAAGGGCTAAGGGTATCCTCACATACTTGCCCAAGTTTCTGGGTATTCGGATTTCTCGTCTATGATGGCTGGAGGAAGTCTTGTACCACTAAGGCTCCACGAAGTGCTGTAATTGCCATTGGGGCTATGCAAGTTTGTGCAATCTTGCATTCATCCACGATATTTGTCCATTGACACGCCGCGGGCACCGGCTCTCAGCAAGAAAGGATTTGCAGCAGGATGTGTCACATGCACAAGCCGGCTGGATGGGCACGAAGAGTGATACAAAGCTCAAAGAGCTCCAAGAGTCTGGGCCTAGGGTTTAAGGTTTAGGGCTTCGGGTTTTGGGTTGAGGGCTTCGGGTGTAGGGCTTAGGGTTCAGGGTTTAGGGCACTTACTTAAGCTTCCACACTATAAGACTCCAGGTTTTAGAGCGAAGTCTAGTTTCGAGGAATAGAAATGGTTCGTGAATATTATGCTTTGCTTATAACGGTAACTTAAAACCTTACCTAAGAATTTTATATACCCCCAGAACACTTGAAGGAGAGCCCAGATTATGGAAATTTTGCTTGAGTTCCTTAACAGCAACCCCACCCTAAGCCCTGAAACCCTAAAACCCCAAAACCCTGAAACCCTAAAACCCTGGAACCCTAAAACCCTAAACCCTAAACCCCCAAATCCTGTATCTAACCCCGATATATCCCCCATATAACCCCAATATAACCCCTATGTTATCCCTATGACCCTTGAGCTCATAGAGCTCCACAGCAACCCAGGAGCTCAAGCTCCGCCTCCAGGATGCTAGTGCCAGGGAGCAGCAGCTCTTGCTGAAGAACGGCAAGAAGTTAGGATTTAGGGTTTTGGATTTAGGGCTTATAGGGTTTAG